ACCATAAAGCTACAAAGATAATTTTACCCCGTCCTCCTTCCGTGCATTTCAATAGCTGTGGGGTAAATGCCACAATGAGGTTTAAAATGAAATTACCTTTCATTTTCAGAAAATAATAACTTCTAGACATATCAGCTATCCAACAATATTTTTTTCTTTTTTTTTGGATGAAAATTAAATATGATAAGAAAAGACAACAATGCCTTAAGAATAATACTGAAGACAAACAAATCATTGTGTCATTGAAGGAAATGACATGTAATCTCTGTTTTGTAAGGTGAGATGTGCACTTTTAAAGCTGACATACCTGAGATGAACTGAAATAAATGGCAGACATAATGGATGCATTGAATTTGTATGATATTTTTCATTCTAACTCGTTCTTGTTTGATTTCTGAGTTACTCCAGCTTTTACGGTGATGGTCACAAGCCTCTGGGGTGTTTTTACTATGTCACATGAAATTCCTTTCCATCCAAGCTATGTAGCTACCCCCTCTGTCTCATGTAGGACTGAGAAAAGAATGGTATGCAAACAGCAGGCCCAGATGTGTGGAATGGTCAGGCTCCACATCAGACAGCCACGACCTTTTATAGCACAGCTTCCATGGCTGATAAATTTTGCTGCATTGACAGAGCAGACGGAATGGGCATCTGAGGTCTGCGAGCTGACCCATCTCTTCTTCATAGTGAAGAATCACATGTGGAACTGAGTTTGGAGTAAGGAGGCAGGAGAATGCAGAGCCAGAGAACTGCCTTCACCACAGCCCTTCACGTGGCACTTCACCAGCACTGCCTGCTGTTGTGTCTGGACGAGAATATCTGGGACATGTCCTCTCTTATGCCTGCAGACTCAAGAGTCCCATGCTGCCTTTCTTGTGAGTCCAGTGCACAGTGTGAACATATTCTTCCCTCTAAAATAACAGTCCTTCTGCTTCTAGTTAAAATAGCATGGCACACATGTCACTGCAGCTGTACAGAATAGCTGCACATTTGTATTCTTGTGAAAACAGAAACTAGAAAATGGTATAAATCTTCCTCTCCCCTGCAGAAAACTAAAATAATCCCAGAGCAATAACTGTGAAGAATGACATTAAAAGAAAGTTCTCATAGGTCAAGTTCACATTCAAGCTGCTGCTTGAAGTAAGTTATCATGCATCAACTGGGCTGATTGCTAAACTGTATTCTTAACTCAATAGAGGGTAATGGCATTTAACATGACCTGTGACAAGACAGTAGAGCTAAGTCACATTACCAAGCATTTGCCATAGTGGCAGAACAAAAGACTCTCTGGTTTAGCTGACATCATAACTTTTAAGTGCTGGAAGTTTCAAGCTGTACTTAAATCATTAGTTTTCATTAATATGCACTTAAAACAGAGTGCCAAAATTTTGCTTCCTATGCACACCTGCATACATTATATTTCTTAATTGTATAATTACATATAACTTTCCAGGCTCAGGCTCTCCTCTGTTTCAGTGCACAGGGCAGATCTGTAGTGAAGAATGAAGACTATAGGCAGAGGAAAGATTCCTGCTTCACAGCTGAGTAGCTCTGCTGGCTTAGAAAGGTGCAAAATACACTGGTTGCTCTTCCTGGCAGCTCTGGGGTAATTTACACTCTTGAAAGAGTGCAAGGAATGTTACTTGTGGGTGGTGCACTAGCTAAAGGCCTAAGCCTTAGTGCTGATGTGGTGACAAAATGCAACAAGTTGCTTTTACTTGTCAGTATGCTAGAAGGAGATAGAGAAACATTGCAAGCAAACACTGTATATGTGTATATATTATTGGTTAAGTTTCATTATGATTGTTTTTTGCTTCACAGTTTTGAGAAACAGTTTTTCTTGAGAGGCCAATTTTCATGTAGAGATGGAAAAAAGATTTCTGGGTTATGGTATTGACTGTCAGTGTACAGTAAATTACTAAACTCTTTTATAAATAGAAAAGCTTTTGAAAAAGTACAACATTCTTTCTGTTTAATTAAGAGTGGTTGCTATGGATAGTCCTTTTCTATCTTTTTTTCTTCTTCATGAACAACATTAGTTAAAAATAGGACACTTCAGATGCTGAAACTCTTGAGTCTTTCTTAAAGTCCCATATTTTATCTACTTTCTTTCTTTTTCTCAGCAACAGAAAATAAGGATTTAGGCCTGAACACAACTGAAAAAGAATTACTCCAGATTTTTCAAAGGAGACTTTAGATTATAGGCACCTATATCTTATTGTGTTTTAATTTCACCCAGCTCTTTTAGAGTCATAGCTTTAGGCTGACAATTGTTGACAATCCTTTTAGTCAACAGCAATTACATAAGTGTTATTGTTGTTCTGATTCAGTGAAAGATTTCACATTTAATAGTTTTCTAGAGTAAGATAAAGTATTCATGAAGGATTGTTTTTTCTTATCACACAGATATATTGGCAATGCTTACGCTTAAAGTAAAACAAGCTACTAGTTATTCACAGAAGTTTTCTTAGCTGGATTACTTTAAGATGCTTTAACTCCATCCAGCTGGAGTTCTTCATGACCCATAGTAGAAACGTGTGTGTGTGTGTGTGTGTACATAGATTCAGAAACAGCCTTGAGCAATGTTCTTTCTGAAAGTATGAGTAATGCTTAAAAACATATTTTGCTCCCATTTGGATATGTTGTTACTTTGATTTTGTGCTTGTCTGAGAATTTGAAAGGCACTCAAAGAGACTACGGTATAAAATATTTACTAGCATAATTTTCAGATTGCTTCTTTATGTACAACCAGCAAACTTTTTTCAATGGTAAATGTCACTGTTCTAATTAAAAAAAAAAAAAAAGCAAACAGAATATTTTTACAATTTTCTCAATTATTGAAAAGACTCTGGACATTTCCAGCTTTGGAGTAGCACAACAAATACACATCAGATTCAGTAGATCAGAAGGTTGTCTCAGAGTGCTTGTTTTATTTTCCTCTACTGAATCAGAACATAAGCAACTGCACAGTAATATCTTAGCACATATCAATTGCCCTTAGTAAATATCTTGTATTAACATTAAGGTGGCATGTTGTTATGTCACAAGAGTTTGAAAATACCCTACCTACCCAGAAAATTCTTTTAAAATGTGTGTTTATAACTCATTGCTATGTTTTGAACAAAAAAAAAAAAAGAGAGAATGCAAATAACCAGAGGGAAGTAGAAATCAATAGGATCTAAAAAGAAAGAAGAATGAGAATTTCTCAACAACCAACTAACTACTGCTACTGTATTTTTTTTTCTGAAGTAAAGAAAGAAGACAAAACATTAATATGAGGAGAAAAAATAAGGGTTGATCTCATACCTGACTTAAAAGTTTAAAGGAAGCACTTAAAGAGAATTTAACTGTGACCAGGTGAAATATCCCATTAATGCACTATTAAATGAGACAAACCATTTGATTAGAATTAACAGAAACTTAAATAATGTGTTGAATTAAAATTTAAGTCTTAAATATACAGCAATTTAATTTAATAGCCACATTCAAAAGCAGAAAGTTTTGTTTGAAGACAACCTGGAGGAAAACTAAAAGATACATTTCCTAATGGAAACCAGGCACAGTTATATGGATGCCAGAAGCATAGTTCTACTTCTAATTAAGGCCCATAATTACTCAAACTGTTCTGCACAGTCGTTTTCCTTTCCTTCCTATAGTGCTGGGAAGTCACAGGGGGATCTGCTCACATCCATCAGCTTACTGCATTTGAGTCTAAAATATGGCATGGCCTACAAAGAAAGACAATTCTTTCTGCTTTCTATTTAGCAGCACAATTGCAGAGAGTAGATTTTTGTTCTTTTCCAGTCCCACTTCTAGTTTAAGACTATATTGCTAAAATCAGCAGTTCCTGCTAGGGAGCAATGCCAGGAGGTGTAAAAATAAGTATTAGGTAGCTACTGCAGGAATAGAATAGCTGCTTTTTCTGAGAAGATTAAGATTGCAGCAATGCTACAATAGAAAAGGGCCACTTTTGATAGAGGGGTTAACAGAAATTACAGGAGGAACTGCTCACTCAGCAAGGTGAATGGCAGAAAGGACCTCGAGGCTGTGGGTCACCCATAGCAGACCCAACTAATCACAAGGGCTGCAGCAAGGGGTAAATCTTCAGCCCTCTTCTGTTTGCATTTTACTCAGAGCTGGTTGGTGAGCACTTGGTTCTGGCTGTTATTGAAAGTTGTAATTTAGAAGCCTCTTTTGCAGGTGACTGCCTCTAGAACAGTGTCAGAAAATAACACTTTTACTTTTCCTGTCTGATTTGCACTTGAGTCTTCTCAGGAAGGGGTTTAAAGTTAGGAGGTGACCCTGTGTTTGTAATTTTCCCCTCTGGTTTTCTGAGGCTGTATCTTTGGTGCTATTTTGAATCCCTTGAGGAATTAGGAGGGAAAGAAGCCTTTTTTTTTTTTTTTAGGTTGGACTTAAACGTAAGCTAAGCCTTGAACTGTTTATCAGTAAGCATGCAGTACTCAAACTGAGTGTATTCAAAGGCATAACTGCAGCTAAGCAGGGAGAGGATAAAAAAATTTTTGTCTGTAAGTGTCCCGAGATCTAGAGAGTAGTTGTGTGAGGGCTTCTCAGTTTGCTTTGGACTTGAACTGCCAGCAGTAGTTGAACTCTCAGGTTAGATGCTGGTGGCTTTCTGTCATTTCTAGAATATTCTCTTGTTAGTTTTGTCATTTCAGTTTTGGTAGATAGGATGTTCCTGATGTAACTAGCTGTGACAGGCTTGGCTCGTTGCAAGTCACCACTGCAACCTCAGAATGGCTTTGGAGGTGGTGTAGGTGCTCAGTTGGTGGCCTGAGTTTGTTGCAAGTGTGCAGCCTGAGTTAGCTGACAGTTCTTAGCAAGGGAGCATTTCCAGAGACAGATCAGAAGATGGTCAGGGCTGCACTTGTACCTGGAGGGATTGTTGACAGGACTCTGTGATGGTATGTTCCTGGCACTATGAAGTGCCTCTGCGCTCTGATGTTCTGTGTTGACAGGTTTTTATGGGGTGGTAACAAAGGAGGTAGGGGTGGTGATGAGGGAGAAAGCAGTGGGATGGGAGGTGCCACAGCAGAGAACTAATCCTTTAAAGAGACTCCAGACGTACGAGTTCTTACTTATACATAGAAGACGAGCTTATACATAGAAGACGAGAATCTTTCAGAACAAGAAAATATTCAAGGCATGTGGAGGCCTTATTTTTTGTCATCACTTATGAACTAGGCATAAGCCCTTTATTAACAAGCATCTGGAGTTTGTAGTACTGAGTAACAAGATCTTTGTTTCATGTGCCCCAGCCAAGAGAGCTAAAATTGCATATGCTTAAGAGTGGAAATAGAACTCGTGTTTATAACATATAAATGCTGACATCACAGTGGGATAGCTGCATGCATGGACAGTGTTGTAACTGTCTGGAAAGCAACTGTTTTGGTGATTCTCACTTATGGGAGCATCTCCAGGAGTGAGACCCTCTTGTCTGGAAGGAGTGTTGGTGGTGCATATCGATTTGTATGCAGACAGTATCCAACATTCTTTTTTTGATGAAAATAGTAATTAGTGTAAGTCCTACTCTAACCTGTTTTATATATCGTTTAACACAATCATACCCACCATATCCCTGAGACAAATCTAGTGAGTTCTATTTCCATAGTTGACAATTTCTGGGCTAGTGTGGATATGAAAAGCTTAAGAAAACGTCTGCTTTACTTTTGACTCTTAAATATCTTCCTCCCTCAGAAATTGTAGACAATCTTGTTGTGGCTTCCGTTTTGATTCAGACTTCTGTCAAACCCAACCTTCTCTCTCAGGAAACTCTGAAGACAGGGGCTGTTGGTCATTGATTTATTTTGTTTTTTTTTTAATGTGATATAATGAATGTTAATCAAACTGACACATAAAGTTACCAAATAGGAACAATTCAGACTTACAGATCAAGTATAATAGGTAATTTGTTTTTCTCTTACTGACTTCTAGGGATATTTTTTAATTCATGTCATTGACTGGAGGTTTTTCTAAATGAACAGTTGTATTACATTGTTGTCTTCCTTTATTAGTGAAAATTTGTGTATTAAAGTGAAGATCTTTTGGAGTATTATCTCTAATTAAAGTTGTAAATATACAAAAAGATTCAGTCCCAATTAATTTGTTTGGTTCTCCCATTTAGCACAGCATCCCATATAGATTCTGAGAAAAAAACAACGATGTAGACTGCTTCCATTCCACCTATTGTTCCTGAAATGGCAGCTCACAAGGATTAACACTGGCATGCTAAAATAATAGATGAACAGATTTTGCTGGAGTAATGGGGTTTGGTATTTTTGAAGTCATGAAACAGAATTATTCTCAGCTAGGTTTTGTCAGTGTTTCTCTTTGGCAAGTCAATAAAGTAGCAACAGTGGCATGTCTAACTTTCATCAGATAACTTAAGCAGTGAGGTAAACAGTGAATGCCTTGCTCCCAGGATACCAGAAATAACAATCTGCCTTTGTATCAGAGAGACAAGATAGGTGACCTGCTCCAGATGGACAGTTCCTGTTTTCTGTACCAGAAACAGATACAACGTGGAGGCTTATCTGAAGGGTCCTCTCTTTGCTAGCTAGCTAGCTATCTTAGCAAGAGTTCAACGAGTCTTCACCTAGGAATATGGAGTGGCAAAGTAATGCATTTTAAGGGAAGATACCAAAAGGAATGGAGAGAAGAATGATGGGATAATTCAACCAAAGAGAGAAGGTAGCTGAACATGTTAAAGTTGACAGTAACAGGGCAGATTGAGAAATCAAGGAGGCAGACAGCTCATATTAATGAGAATCAGGTTCACCCTGGGTGGGAAGAGTATGAGAGGAGAACTACAAACTACCATACATTAGCATCATCAGGAAATATCTGGTAGTCAAAATTCAGGAGCAGGTTTTGTACAGTGATACTTTACTGATTCAGTAGCAGTCATTAAGTGTCAATAATGGGCAGCTCATTAAAACTAGATATGATGAGATATATATATAGAGAGAGACAACTAGAACCATCTTGTAGACAGTAGAATGCAAACAGATACTGGGTGTTTTTTACAGTGTTCTCTCCAGGTTGGTTATATGAATTGTCATTTTTCTGTCCAAGACTATTTTTGGCACCTAAATTGACACCTTTTATAACTTTCTACCCTTTAATTCCCAGTGTTTAATGCAGCAACAGGAAGAAAATACTTTATTAGATTTCACCATCGAAGCAAAACTAGAAGTATTCCAGTTGTCTTTTAACTTTGGAAGCTAATATATAAAGAAACATAGAAGGTAAGTAGAAGTGTCTAAAGTTTCTTTCTATTTTTTCAAGTGCTGACTCTATGTCCAGACTAGAAAACTGGGTCTTCTGTTCCCTTCAAAAACAATGAAATACTGCTTTTATGTGCTATCAATTTCTGAATTCGCATGTGACACACTTGATAGAAAGAATAATGTGCAATTAACTAGTAAATCGATTTTATTAAAAAAAAATACATTTTGCTGCCATGGTAAGCAGTTTTGTTGATACCTGCACCACACCTTCCCTACTCACTAGTGAATACTTTGTAGACAGATGTAGCAAGAAAAATTAGGAATGCTTAAAATAATAGCTATTTAACTCAGTTTTGAAGCCCTAAATAATGGGACAAGTTCTCAAAGAATAAACCTGTGAAGTCACTGTAGCATTCTGTGTGAAGGTAGGATAATCCATAAGCCTTATTTTGAACTCTGTCTGGGGCTACAGAATCCCATCTGGCTCCAGCTTACTTGGAAGTGCCCCCTGTCTGTGCTGCCTAGAGTTGAGACAATCAAGAATCTGCTCCCTGGGAATATAATTGTACTGAAGTGTGTTTATGTGCTGTGCAGATTAATCTTTCATGATGGTTGCTGAAGCACAGGACAAAGTGCTTGCTTCATTGATTTGACACAGGACATACTATTCTCATCGCTGTATGACATGTTCTATAAAATAAAGGATGGATGATTGGTCCTGGCAGGAGAGATATTCATGAAGTGCTTTTCTTCCAGTCCCCTGCCTCATCCCTGCTTTTGAACTGAGTCTTCTCAGTGGCAACTGCATCACAGCAGCTTCTGCTAATGCAAGATTAAAGACAGAAGGCCTCCTTTATGCTGCATAAGTGGATCCTATATTCTGTTTGTACACCATCATTCAGTATATCCAGAATGGTGTCTCAAGTTCAAGTTGAATTTGGGAAAGGGTATTCACCACTGTGCTTCAAATGTTACTTTTTTCAATTCTGTTTCTTAAAATTTGCTCTTTCCCAGATGTCCATTGTAACAATACTTGAACAGGTGGAGGTTTTGTGCATCCTATATAGTAATTTTCACCAGTGTGAAACTACTGATTTTGGCAAAATTGGTAAATAATAGAGAAGAAAAATATTCTTGTCAGAGAAAATTTAACAAAAAAGACATTTTCTCTAAGTTAACTGACAAAAGTCACCATGAGTTTGTGCCTTTTGAAAATCTATATCCATACTATTCTTGTATTTCTTGATTATAAGTCTATATTTGGAAATTCTTACTGAAAAAGCTTGCATGGTTTTGTAGACATGGAACTGAGAAACAAAAGATATAAGCAAATACAACAAACTGCAAAGTAGTCACAGGGGCTGACCTTAGCTTAATGCACTAATCTTGTGTGTATTCAATAGGAACAGTCAGAAAGAGAAGATCTACGTTGAGGGTGGCAGGGAAAAACTTATGTTTGTACTGGTTTTTAATTTGTTGGTTTTTTTATAATTGCATCTAGACTAAAAAAAACCCATGAAACCCCAACACAACAAAAGCCAAAACCAAGCCAAACCAAACAAACAAAAAACCAAAAAAAACCCCCACAAAACAAACCCCGACCAGCCTTCTCTGTGGACTGTAGAGGAGTCAGAATATCTCTGAGAGTTTTTGTTGTATTGCTTTATTACAAGACCAAATGAGTATGAAAGCATTTGTTATATTGATAGTAAATTCACTTTCATAGGCATGATTGACCTTAGGAGTTGAACTTCAATGATCCTTGTGGGTGCCTTCCAACTCAGGACATTCTATGATTGAATATATGTTAGTGTGAAGAGTGTTTCTGGGGAAGATTGAGCTCTGCAACGTTACCCACTTGTTACCCTTGAGTCTCCTTACTAAAAAAAAAAATTGAATTATTCAATATTTTTCTATTGACAGATGTTTAAAATGGATTTTCTGTGTCTTAATGAGATTTCTTACTATACATGACTGATTTGAGATTCAGTATTTCCAATGGCATAGCCAACAAGGAAGTAAGAAATGGCTTTGTGCATAAACTGAAAAATTGTTTTTTTCTTCAAAGTGCTAAGTGTCTCTGTATCAAAATTAAATATTGCTTCAGCTACAGTAAAATTGTGTAATGAAGCACAACTGATTATGCTGTAGTTTTCCTAATATTAACATTATTATTCAAATACAAATGCTTATGTATTTTGTGGGGTATGTAGTAATGAAACTAATTTATTTTCTCTTCTGAGTACTGTGTCTTTTAATTCAGCATTTGCTATTAGATCATACTTTCAGATACCCGAGAGAGCAGTGCCTGCTTTAGAGTAATAGATTTTTGAGGTCAGAAAGTGACCACAGACTATTAACCAGCAGCTCCTGCATTCAAGCACAGCAGCTCAAAGAGAGGGTTTCTCAATAGCTAGTTCTTACAAATCCTGTCTAATAGAGAATTGAATAACTTCCTAACCCTTTTCATACTAATTGCCTATGTGGTCACTTTTTCTAGTTTTCTTTCCCCAGTGTGTGTACCTCTATTCACCTAGACAGAGTCGTGAACCTGAACGATTCTCAGCTGTGAGGTTAGTCTTTCATCTTTTCTTCTTACGTATTAGCTGCACTAATGCTTGCATCTGGAAGGCAAAGAAGGCTTTGATGGAGTATGTTTGTCAGTATTTGGAAACCTAAGACATGACATGAATCTGGCCATCTAAACAGCCAAACATGTAATAACACCTGCCTTAATACTAAGACCTGAAAAATGTGTCCATTCTGAGCCATTTTCAATTTGGCAATATGAAGTCAATGCCAATGTAGAGATGCGAGATGAATCCTTATAACAGACAAAAACCAGATAAGAACATATAGGAAGGAACACTTACCAATGGTGAAAGTTTGAGAAACAGCCAAAGAACAATTAATTTCCACTGAGGCTGAAAGCAAATACTGGAGATACTTGGAGGCATTCAATATACATACTAAGTGTATATTGAATTTCAGTAGGTGAATTGCTGACATCTATAGCAGTCAATTGGGAATCAGTGGATATAAAAAGAGAAGGGTATTCAATAGAATTTCTGTTGATTATGCTGATTAATCCAATGATTGGATTATCCCAACTTGGTAGGTAAGCTAAAATAATTGGTAAATTCCAGTAAAAACTGCAGCAAGTTGCAAACACGTTTTTCTGCTGTGTAGGCTTTAAAAGGGTAAAGATGACAAACTAGGTGGGAAGTCTTTGCCTTTATTATAATATCTCTAAAGTAGTTAGAAATATAAAATGGTAAATTTGACCATTAGCTGTAGTTATGTTATCAAGAGACTTTATATTTTATGAATATTTAAAGACACGCTGTAAGGTATATAATGCAGGACTTCTGTATCATAGTTGTGATGCAGATAAAGTTCTTACTGAGAGCTTCCAATCCAAGAAGTTTGCTTTATGAAACATTAGTACATGAAACATCTGCAGTAGTATAGCTTGATGGAGAAATTAAATAGTCTGAATGATTGGCGTCATTCTTGAAACAGCATAATGCTATTCTTGTTATGCAAACAGGGGAAGGAACAAGTAAAAATCAGTTTGTTTTGAAGAAAAGGAAAGAGTGAGAAGTAGTTCCTTGGTGCAGTGACTACTAAAAGCTGCCTTCTCCAACTTCCTCTGCTCCTGAGCTCTGCACATAAAGCTCAATCATCAAAAAGAAGACATTCTTCAACGCTAAGGCACAATAAAAGAAAAATTCATGGTGTTCTCAGATATGTTTACGGTTCCAGAAAGTCCAAAGTTACTTGGGCATTGCTTTTATCATGGTTGATCTAAAAGGTTCCACAGAAATAACCTTTAACACAAAATTGAGGAACTCAATTGGTAACTCACCCAGGTAACAAATATCTATCTTTAGCTATTTCTAGCTGGGCTTACAGCTTTCTGATGAAAGGTGGCCTATTTCAATAGGAAATGATGCAGTCCACTTGGTGTGTTTGGGTTTGGTTTTTTTTTTTTTTTTTAATCTTTAATAAAGGCTGTGTCTCTGGCATATACATGAAAAGAATAAAGACTAGAGACATATTTCTTCTCTAGAATAAACTGTAGAAAATACAATGAAAGAAAATGTGAGAATAAGCTTTACTCATATCTCTTTTCCAATGAAATTACAGCAGAGAAGAGGGGAGGAAATCCATAACAGGGAACAACTTTTTTCTTTTTTTTTTTTTTTTTAGAAGAGTTTATTGAGTACATTCTCAAAGGTTTTTACAGAATCTGCTCTAAAAGCTATCAGTATAGGATAGGTAGTTAAAACTGGTCACTTCCATCCCTTTCAGTTTAAATGGAAGGCAACTATAAGTGTGGTAAGGAAGATCTATGACTATTATAGCAGGGAATGGATGAGCAGATGCAATTTATATAGGACAGACAGAATCTTTGCAGGTTTGTAGCCCTGTTAATGCAGATATGTCTTCTGGGCATCTGACTGCAAAGAAGCACATGCAGGACGACTCGGTTTAGTGAACAAAGCAATAAAGGTGTCAATAATTGAACAGAAGATGCAATAATATCTTACAATAGCTACCAAACAATACTGAACTAGACTTTATTGGGTACTAGAAACCCAATATTAGTAGGGACTTTTTGGCTGAGAGCTTGTGCCAACGTACAATAATTCATGCAGCTTCTTTGTATTTATCTTTAAGAAATCAAGTGCAACTATAATCACTTTAATCATAAGCAGTGACAGCATAAAACAATTTTTTAGTGAATTTTCATCTGATTAACTGCTATCACCTTTGTCCAATGTATCATACTATATATAGATCCTGTGTTTTAGGATCATCATGAGCTGCTAAGTCTTTGCTCTTAATAACAGTATAATAATAAAGAGATAATATGTGTTAAAATGAGGCAATATGCTTCTGTTTTTTTCTTCACTGTGCATATTTCAACACTCCTTTGAATTTGTGTAGGGCATCTACTGACAGTAAGATACAATCTTTGCAAGTTATCACTTATATGTACACAGTTCTATAAATCTGTTATCTTGGATTATGCAGTGGGAAAGAGATGTAAATATCTTGAGTTGACGAAAATGTAGTTTGTACTATCCAGAACTGTATTGATTCTTTTTTTTCTTCACATTCAGTTCATAGGCTCATAGAATGATTTGGGTTGGAAAGAGCCTTGAAGATTATCTAGTTTCAATCTTCCTGCCATGGGCAGGGTCACCTTCCACTAGAGCAAGTTGTTCAAAACCCCATCTAACCTGTCTCTGAATGCTTCCATGTATGGGGCGTCCACAGCTTCTCTACAGACAGTAAAGAATTTCTTCCAAATATGTGATCCAAATCTACTCTCTCTTTGTTTTAAGCCATTCCCACTTATCCTATCACTAGATGCCCTTGTGAAAAGTCCTTCTCCAGCTTTCTTGTAGACTCTCTTTAGGTACCCTAAGGTTGTTATAAGGTTTCCCCGGGGCCTTCTCTTCTTCAGGCTGAACAATCCCAAAGTTGAGGTGAAATTTCATTAAAAAAAGATGTATTTTATAGAACCATACAATTTGAAAGTTTGTTTTAAAAGTCAAACCTGACATGACTCATCTCTGAATCTGAGGCTTAGTAAAACTGAAGGATTTTGTAAGAGCCCAGATCATCTTGACTTATGGATCCAAATAAGTATGGCTTTTCTCCTTCTTGGTTGATTTGCCCTCAGTCTTGGCCTGAAATTCTGGGTTCTTCAAAACCAAACGTAAGGGACATAAAATGAAAGGCATATGGAAGTAGAGGAAAATATGAAGTTCAAAAAACAGGGTGTAGGATGGCTTAGGGCTGTAAAGTGTCAAGTCCCCCTTAGTCCTTTTTAAAATATTTTGTTTCTTTGTTTGTTTGTTGTGGTTTGCATTTTTTTTAAGAGCTCTGGACACTTCTGCTCCAAAAAAGTAAATTTTGATATGATTTCAAACACCTAGTCCTTGGAGACAATACATACTTATTGAAGAACTTGTTAAACAATTTGCTTTCAGAAAATACAAAGATGTATATAGATACTATTTTACAGTTTATTCAATCTTTACACTATACAATACTTCCATCCATTTTGGAAAACTGAGATATGTAATATAAGAATGTGTTTTATTGTATGCTATAGATTTTTCTTGTACAAGTGATGAAATGGAGAAAAGTCTGTTCTGGAAACCAGTTCAAGAAGCTTCTTCAGCACATACGATTTTCTGTGAACAACGAAAGAAAAAGTAATTTTGTAAACTACTATCACATTGACTACAAATCAGCTGCTCCAGGTACTTCATCCCATGTCCCTGTTTGCATAAACTTACGAACTTTCTTCACTGATTGAAGTTACTCATGCTTGCAAATGCAATACCAACCTTGGACCTTGTTTGAGGTTCATTTTAGTTCTACTACAAGATTCATCTCTGTTAGCTTCTGTTGATATCCACTGTGGTAGAGACAGTCCTGGGTTTTAAGGGATGAGCCTTTAATAAGCAAAGGAGTACTAGAACTGTCAATATAGTCACACAGTAGTCTTCACTCAAACTGGAGAAGGACTCTTCAGTCAGTTATTTTCAAAAAGGATTGAGACATATTTGTCAAGCAAAATGAAATGAAGATTTTTCACACGGGATTTCTGAGCTCTTACCTGACATTGATATAAGGAGTAAGTCATACATTCTAACTGAAAAGTAATCTTTCCCTGGAGTAAAAGGGTGTTAACTACATTCACCAGTAAACCTGCAAAAGGCACTACTTAATAATAAGAAATCAATTTTGTAGAAATGCAAAATCTCTTTTACAATGACTCTAAAATTCTTATTGACAGAACAGGAAGAAGTCAGCTTGATAAGCAGAAGACAAACACAATGCCAAGATCACTTACTTGTTAATAAAACACTTGTTCAGAATGAGAATCAAGTTCTTAAAGTCTTTGTTCTGGTTGAACAAGGTGTATATCACTTCTAGTTTCTGATATGCATGCCTCATTAACACTTTGGTGCAACATCAGATCTGGACTAGTTACAGGAAGTCATTTCACCCTACACAAAACAACTAAATGTGTTATCTTGTCTCTCCTCATTGGTAGATCAGCTTGTCCAGGTCACCACAATTGTATTATTTCAGCAATAATGAAAGAATTAAGGAAAACTACTTGGGTATTTTAACCAAATTAGGCACCTCACATAAAATGTTAGCTGATGTGAATAATCTTATTAATGGTTCATCATTAACATAATAAGCATATGCCATTCCTTGCACTGCAGGAATTTTTGCAGTATGATAAAATAGAGCTAGCTACTGGGTTTGATCCCAGTGCTAATTGATACCTGTGAATCATAAGTAAATATTATAGCTAATTTCTTTGGTCAGGAGAGTGCATAACATTTAGACTGTAATGAGATCAGAAAAAAGTGTTCTGAAAAAGGAGTATGACAGAGAACTAGATACAATTTCATTAAACTGTCTCAAAAATTCAACATTTAATTTGCCCTAATATAGAAATAGCATTTCAATTCATTACTTCTAAATATTTCATATGCTTCTAATA